TCCTCCCTGACCTCCTCACAGGCACAGCTCCCAGGCCCGCACTGTGCTACCCTGAGAGTCCTGACACACCCAGCCTGGGTATAGGAGGAAACACTTGATGCCCACACAGACCCCTCCCTCCCTCTTTGCAACCCCAGCAGCTGCAGGTCCTGGCCCAGCTGGGGGCGGCCCCAGAATTTGAATGGGTGACTCAGGCTGAATCATGGCCCAGCTGCTTCTTGGCAGCCCTTCCCCCATTCTGCCCAGAGAGCCTATTTGGAAGGCAGAGGTGGGGCTTGGGGTGGGGGACAGAGACCAGGGGGAGGACAGAATCGGGCAGGGCATTTGAGAAGCAGCCATAGGCACCAGAGGGCTTCTCAGTGCCTCCCCCCCATGCTCCTTATTCTGCCAAGAAGATGGGGCCATCTGTCTAGGGATTCTCTCTAATTTTCCATTTTGGCTTCCCTCTCCTGCCTCTTGACCCTAATAATAACAACAATAATAACAACATTAATTATTCTAATTGATCACTCACATTTTCCAGCACTCACTCTGCAGTTTTCAAAGTACCTTTTCATCAGCACACATTTAATTTGCCTCCTAGTGCTGGGGGTGAGGCAGAAATTAATATCCTCACCTTGATGCTGAGGAAACTTTGAGGTTCCAAGAGGTTATATGAACTGGCCAGTGTCATATAGTTGGTGAAATGACAGCCAGGACAGAAGTCCGGCTTCCTGCTCCAACCTGTGGACCTGTGGAACTGGTACTGCAGTTTGGCAAGGTGAGGGTCTAGTAGAAACAGGGTGGGGGCATGTGGGATGATGTGGTGGCCATGGGGAAGGTGTGGTGGGGACACTGCAGGACATGGTGGAGCCATGGTGGAGCACTGAAGGCGCATGATGGTGTATGATGTGGTTGGCCTGTGGCTGCAGGAGCATTGAGTGGTGTGTGCAAGGGCATGGCAGAGGCATGACTCGTGGCTTGCTGTGTGGTGTGAAAAATTGCCCAAACATTCTTTCTTTGCCATTTTGAAATTAATGGATTATGGAATTATTCATAATTATTAATTATTATTATTATCAGTGTTTCAGACAAGTATCCTAAGGCTTATAGATCCAGGGCTTGGAGTTTCTGTGGAGAAAGCTTTGGTTGTGGAACCTTTGCTTCCTGAAGTCTCAGTTTCCTTGTCTGAAAAAAACGGGTCCAGGTCTCTGGCGAGGTAGGCTATTAAGAGGCATGAGTGAAACCACGCTCATCTGCTCTTTAGAAGCTGTAAAGGACTTCACAAAGGACTGCTGTTTTTCACATTTGGTTTTATCCTTTAAAAAAATAATTCGTGGGTGCTGGGCAGAGGGCAGAGTGGGCTTCTGGGAGCCTAGGGGGCGGTACTGAGGGGGAGTGGGTGACAACTCTTCCTTTCCCCCTGCCTGGGCTCTGTCTGGCCTTCCCCCACCCTCAGCCCAGAGCCGGTTTCTAGGCAACGGGATGGATGCAGAGATGGTTCGGAGGGGAGAGAGCTATAAATAGGGAAGGGAGAAAACAAAAATAAAGTTCCAGAGAAAGCCTGGAAGCAGCATTACTGGGGGTTGGGGGTGGGGAGACAGACAAATGGTGGGGATATGGAGACAGCCCCCAGCCCTTCATCAGGGCAGTTTTCTGGGCTGGTTGTACAGCAAAGTCCCCAGAGTGCTGACATGGATAGGAAGGGACTGCCAGTGCTCACAGCTGAGCAGAATGAGATGAGAAGAGATGGCTTCTGGGCAGAGGAACAGGAAGGCTCAGAAGAGGATGGGTTCAAGAGGCAGAGTTGAGGGCAGCTGCCCAGAAGGAGGAAAGAATGCAGGCATAGGAAGAGAAAGCATAGGCCAGGAAGTGGGGCTGGATGCCTGGACAGACCTGCTGGGGCTCAACCTAGATGACTGCACACCCATGTGTACACACACACACACACACACACACACACACACACAGAGACAGGCTCTCCCCAGGTCTCCCAACATTCAGGTTTCAGACACCTGAGCCTGACACTTTAACATCATCCCTTCCCTATGACTTTCTATCACAGTGCTCTTTTTTATGATCTTTATAAAGCTAGAAATTACCTTGATTTTTTTTTTTTTGAGACAGGGTTTCACTATGTAGCCCAGGCTGGCCTAGAATTTGGATCTTTTTGCCTCAGCCTCCTGAGTGCTGGGATTACCATGTTCACGACCACACCTGGCTTTGTTGAACATTTTGTGATAGCTGGGAGGTGAGCTGTCAGGACATCAACCCGTAGGGCTGTTCCCTGAAATCCCTCACTTCTAAGAACAGCACAAGCCAGGCGCCAATGGCTCATGCCTGTAATCCTAGCTACTCAGGAGGCAGAGACCAGGATGACTGCAGTTCAAAGCCAGCCAGGGCAAGTAGTTCGTTAGGCCCTATCTGAAAAAAATCCCTTTACAAAAAAGGGCTGGTGGAGTGGCTCAAGGTGTAGGACTTGAGTTCAAACACACACAAAAAGAATAGCACAGGTATGGAACACACACCATCAGTGTACACACATGAACACAGATACAAACATAGCACATCTGTACGTCCCTACCACAGATGTGAGTGTGCACAAACTCAAACTCTCACACACACGTTGCCCCCAGTGTCCGTGACATTGTGCAAAGGTCTGTAATCTCCCCATTTGCCTGTTGTTAGTGTTTTTCATTTGTTTGTCTCTCTTCAAAGCCAGAGGAAGCCAGTTTTGGAAATTTCAAAGGTGTTGGACTTTGAAATTTTCAGAGTCAGGCTTGGGGTTCATCGTGGCCATTGCCACATCCCAGCAATATGACTAAGACAGGTAGCTTCCCTTCTCTGACCTCTATTTCCTCATTTGTAAATTGGGGTTAACCAGGCAGCCTGGAGAGTGGTTGCAAGTGAATTGATAGACGTAAGTGTCCCTGACACATGGGAGGAGGTCATGGACTGTGTGGGCTCATACAGACACACAGTCAGGACTGCCATGTGATACAGGGATGGCATCTTCTGATGACAGCCTGGAATGCATTTAAAGTGACCATGGCAGATGAGAACATTAGTCTTTGAGCAGAATCATTCTCAGTGGGACCAGGTGTCAGGATTGGCACCTGAGAGGAGGAATAAATCATCCCACAGGCCAGATGGTGAACCTGATTTTGGCAACTAAAAATGAGGTTTGGTGCTGGTTGCTAGATCATAGGTCAAACCCTTCTACAGAAGCCAGGTAGGTCACGAACAGGTGTGCAGTAGTGTTAATACAGTAAGGAGGGAAAGGGATGGTAGTGAACTGGAAAAGGTGTGTGCAAACCAAAGGTACTCAAATAAAAAAAACTGAAACCTTAGGCTAGCAAACTAAACATAAGATAATCAGATAGAGGCTAAATTCGGTCCAAGGACCAGAGTTTGCAATTCCTGAGGACTGTGGGTTGTAGGTACGGTTTTAATTTTGAGCTCTTGGCACCCTCACTTACATGAATCTGGCTGGTCTCCCGCCGTGCTGGATGACTTCCCTGCCTAGGCATTGCTTCCTACCTCCAACGAGGAGGCACTAATATTTTGTGATTAATTAAATAGAGAAAGCTTCTTCCAGCTTTGTGGTTGGAGGTCGAGGTTTGGGCTTCAGCTCGGAATCCAAGCCACATCTGAGCATAAAATGAGCGCGGTTTTGCGCAGGCGAGGTTGGGCCTCTCTGCGGCAAAGCGAAGCCCAGGGCACTGCCTGCACCGATGGGGGCGGGGCCGACGCAGAAGGGGGCGGGGCCTAGGCAGCAAAAAAGGGCTGGGGTGCTGCACAGGCGGGGGCGGAGCCACAGAATCCGGAGCTTCTGGGCCAATGAAGGCAGCCCTTTCGCACTAGTGGGGGCAGGGCCTCGGCACAGAGCGCGCAATATCATCGCCCAGTCCTTCTCCACTCTTAGGCGATGTTGGGGGGCCCCCTAGTGCCGATCATGGGCCGTTCAAGGCTTCTGAAAGGCTTCTCAGTTTTCTGCCGACCCTCGCCCACTTCAACTGAGATCCCAAACTTTCAATCATTTTCTAGGAAGGATGGAGTACCCCATGTAGGAGGTCTGGCTCCTCTTGGGCCATGGTCCTTCCACCTCGCAATAGGTTTTTCTGAGCTGGGCAGGTGTGCGTAGGGGTGTGCGCACGGTTTGGAGTAGGAGAGGTCTGTCTGCGCCTAACAGCGTCTTTCTGGGCCCGCGCTGCTGCTTTCCGAAGGCTTCGCGGCGCACGTGCAACTCTGTGCGCGCGTGTCTGCACGTGCGCATGGGCCAGGGAGCGTACGCTCGGGGTCGCGCGCAGGGACCAGCGTCCGTGCACGTATGTGCGCGTGTGCGTGCGCATGTGCGTGCGCATATGCGCGCCCGCGCAGCTGCTGAGGCTTGGAGCTTCCCTGGCCCTGCACCCCCAATAAGCGCTTCACAGTCCAGCAGGTGGCGCTCGAAACCACTTTCCCGCCTCCCAGTCATCTAAGGGTCCCAGACCGGGGTGAGCCCCTTTCCCCTTCCTGGACGTGGGCGGGGGTCGGACAGTAGGAAATGGAGAAACCGAGGTCCCAGATGGTCAGTTGTGTACTTGGGCTAAATGCGCCAGACCCCCAAAGAGCGGAGGAGCAGTTGGGGACCTGGAAGCTCATCTTTGGTCGCCACCTGGCACCCTGCCCAGCCCTGCCCATGCGGCGCTGGCTACAGACAGATTGGCTTTATTCATGGACACGCGGGGGGCGGCCGGGCCTGCCCGCCCGGGACACGCTCACATGGGGGATGGGGGACTCTCCATGCCACAATCACAACACACGACGCCCGCGCTAGGACCGGGCCGGCTGAGGGAGGGGGCATGGCACAGCCTGGCTTCTGATTTGGGTTAAAAAAATGTCATGGGGGGACTCGATGTGGGAAGGGCGTAGGGTACTCTGGAGCTGCCCCAGGACCCCTCGGAGAGCTTCCGTCGGGAGCCGGGGAGGAGCCGTCGCATTGCCATCTTCATTTAAAAATACATAGAACATGCTACATCCGCGCGGACGGGATGGAGGTGAAGGGCAACAGTGGTTGGGCGGGGCTCCCTGATGCGGCCTTAGCCCCAATGCAGTCCACGCCCCAGGGATGGACGCGGGAGGGCGGGTAGGACAGACAGATGGACAGATACTAACATAGGCTCGAGGGGGCGCCTCCGAGCAGAAGGAAGATCTCGTGTTTGGGGGGGAGGGGTAGAAGGACAGCCCTGGCTCTGGGGGACAAGGTTAGGGACAAGGAAGGAATTGTGCTGCTGGTGAGGCCCCTTGCTGGGCCCTTACGCCTCTGGCTCATACTCCTGATATTCTTCCTGCAGCAGAGCGAAGGGTGGAGCAGAGGAAAGAGCAAAACGGAGAAGGGGTTGGAGACCAAAGTGGCCAAGCTATGGCCCCCAGATCCCTCCCCCTTACGTGGAGCAATGCATATCCTCCCTCCGTGGGCACGGGAGGAAACTGGCCCCCGGAACAGCTGGAATAGTCCTCGGTGGAGGTATCTGGGGCCCGGCGCAGGCCCCATCCGTCCTCCCTTCCCAGCGCCCACCTTTTGGAGCCTGGGTTCTACAAGAGGCAGGGCCTAAAGCTCTCAGGCCCAACCTTATCCTGCAGGGACCCACCCCGCCCCCAGCTAGGGATGGCAACCATGTTCCGGGATGTCCACAGCCCACTAGCTCTGCTGCCCCTCACCTGGGGTGGCTCTTCGTAACTTTCCCCTTCGGGTTCCATTAGGGGTTGAATGAGTGGTTCCTCAGCAGCTTCCTGGGCCACTTCTTCTGGCTGTGGGCAAAGGAGGACAGAGCTGTGAGGTCAGCCAGATGGGACACCCCCTGAAGTCCCCTGCTGCTAGACTTTTAGCTCCTTGAAGGAGGAAGGCAGGATAGAGTGGGTTGGCAGTGCAAAGCGTTTTAAATTGTTTATTTAGGGCGCCTTATAAGTAGGGTGGAAGTGTAAGGGCAAAGTCCTAATCATCACTTGAAGCTGGGGGGTATATGGTGGGGTGCTGGGTGCTCTGTGCTACTCCTCCAGTACATAGAGGAGTAGCACAGCCTTCTGCACCTCCATCTTTGGGTCTGGATGGATGAGGGAAAGACAGCACAATCAGACACCCATTTATCCCTACCTCCCTGTGTCACGCTCTGCACTAGTCTGCAGAGCCCCAGAGAGCCCTGGAGGAAGGTGGAGGTTCAGGCACAGGGCTGGACAGGGGCTCTGAGCCACTTCCCTGCCACCTTCCACCCATCCCTCCCCCAGGGCCCAGCCTGGCCTGGTTTCTTCGCTGTTGCTATTTTAGGATAAGCTGGAAGCAACAGCTCATGGTGTTGCTTGGATGTGTGAGCTAAGACTCTCCCCTCCCCCCTGCATCTGCTGCCCAGATAGGCACAGACCAGCGGGCATGCGTGTGGGGGGCTGCCAGACACATGGCTGGCCACTTGCAGGTGAGCACATGTATGTGCACACACGGGACAGACATATGTACACACAATAACCTGGGGTACAAGCATGGCTGTATATGACCACCTGTGGGCTGGCACATGCCACAGACCCTGGAGGGCTGGCAATGAGAAGCTGCCACTCTGATTGCCTCAGACCCTCATAGTACCTGTTTGGTGGGCTCTGTGGGCACACAAGTGTACAGTGCCTGACCTGGCTCATTCCTCCACTGTGGACATGACTATTCTAAGGCTGAGGAGGGGGAAATGTGAGTTTGCTCTAAATCATCCAGCTATGACTAGAACCCAGAGACAAAACAGTTAAAAATTCCAGCTTGCGGGCCGGAGGTGTATTTCAGTGGTAGAGCTTGTGCCTAGCATGTTCTAGTCCAACCCCCCTTAAGGCCCACCCCCCAGAAGAATCTCAGCCTGAGCACATGGTTTGGAAACAGCCTAAATGTCCACAATGGGAGAATGGATATGTGCATTGTGATCTCAGCACACAGTGGAATATTACACAACAGGAATGAAGAATGACAACACATCCAAGCAGGACTCAATCACACAGTGTTGAATGAAAAGTCAGGAGCATGGACTTTTCATGACATTTAGACGAAGTTAAAAAGCCCCCAACCAAATTGCAGTGACAAAAGTCAGGGAGGAGGTACCTTTGGAGGGAGGCAGGCAGGGCTAGAATTGAAAGGAAACACATGAGGCAAACATGGACCAAATATTAGAGAGGCACTCATTCCTGAGATCAAGCACTTCCTGTTTCACTTTAGTCCTGCCATAGTGGTGGGGCCATGGAAGGTGACACAGTGGGCGAATTCTGGAGGTTGGTGGTGTTGCACTGGCTGCTGGTTACATGGTGGTGGGGGTAGGGGGGTTCCCTTCTGAAAATTTCATGGAGATGGGGTGGAGCTCAGTGACAGAGCTGAGACCCCCCTCCCCAGCACCACACCACTAATAGTAATAATAATAATAATAATAAAAACCCTGCCTGGCCCTTTGCTAGGTTCTCAGCATCAGGCAAGTCACTTGGCCTCTAAGCACAGAAGCCTGGGGTGGGAGACCAAGTTGGGGCTTATGATTTGCAGGGGTGCCATGAGGATTCCCTAATCATGGGTGGAAAGCCAGCTGGAAAGGCAAAGATTCTCAGAAACTCTGACCCTGGGCTTGCAAAGGTCCCCCAGCCCCAGGTGCCCCAAAGGCTGATATTGGGATTGTGACTGTGACCTCAGCTCCCTTGAGAGAGCAGCCTTGACCTGTCCACAGCATCTGCAGGAGAAAGACAGCCAGAGAGAAATGACTCTGTGCAAAGGCTGTCACAAACAGCCTGAAGGTTGACATGCCAGGCCCACCCAGCCTCTCTGCTCCTCAGTGCCCAGCAAAGGTGCTGGCCTGTGTTGGTACTAAGTGGTTCCCCCTGCCGTCCCCCGATAGCCTGAGTTTATCTTTCCAAACACTTTTTAAGGGAAGCAGGTGGGGACTGGGATCTTGGGCAAGTTGCTTCACTCTCTGAAGTTTTTCCATCTGTTAAATGGGCAGTTATATGGTGTCCTTCTTAAAGGGACACTGAAGATACAATGGTCATTTTTTGCAAGCTGTCTAGGGACCAATAAATGGGAGTGATTACTGGTCATATAAGCACAGGATGTGAGAAGTCACACGGATAGCAAAATGCAGAGCTAGGACTGGAACCATAACTTCTGAGTCAAGACCCAGGCTTCTGACAGAGGAAGGAACCATCCATGAAAAATGTTTGGAGGAGAGGGTGGTGTGTAGGGTCTCCCCAACTTGATGGGTACACTCAGGCAGAAGGCATGCTGAGGGATGTCCCTATCTGTGGGTATAGGTCCACAGGGCACACTGGCATGGTGGTGCACTTCTATGCACACCTGTGGTCACATGGTCCCCTGGGGGCAGACGCAGGCTGCTTGTCTGATCCCTGTCACAATCTCTGAGTCGCTGTATGCAAGCCAGGATCTCTGGATCAGTGGTTTTCACAGTGTGGTTCCTGGAGCTGCTGTATTAACCTCAGCACCAGTGTACTTATTACAAATGTAAATTCTCAGGCCCCCACCTCAGACACAGGAAATTCTAGGGATGGGGCTACCCTTTGTATTTTCACCTGGCCACCTGGTGATTCGGACGCACGCTCACTTTGTTGTTGTGTTTGGTTTTTTTGAGACAGGGTCTCACTATGTAATCCAGACAGGCCTCTAACTCTCCATGCTCCTGCCTCAGCCTTCTGAGTGCTGGGATTACATGTGTGTACCACAATGCCTGGATCACACTCAATATTTGAGAATGTCTGATCCACCTATCTCTAGTTTGCCTAAGAACCTATTGTGTTCTTCTATGTTGCAGGCAGATAATCAGGCTCAAAAACATGATGGGAGCCAGGTGCTGGTGGCTCAGCCTGTAATCCTAGTTCCTCAGAACATAGAGATCAGAAGGATCACGGTTGAAGCCAGCCTGGGCAAACAGTTCGGAAGACCCTATCCTGACAAAAAAAGCCCTCACAAAGAAGGGCTGATGGAGTGGCTCAGGTGTAGGCCCTGAGTTCAAGCCCTAGTACTGCAAAGAAAGGTGATGGGACCTGTCCATGATCACATAGCCAGGAAGTGATGCAGTTGGGATTCAAACCTAGTTCTGTGAGGCTTAGGAGCTCACAGGTCTTCCTCTCCCTGCTGTCTTAATGGAGTCCTCTGTCTCCATGCATACATGAGTGGGTGCCACCACTCCAGACCCATCTCTCACCCAGCCACAGCTCACACCTGCTCATATCTGCCTCAGAGCCTTTGTACCTGCTATTCTCAACTGCTTGAAATACACTTCCACACATCTATGGATGCCTCACTCTCATACCTTGGGTGTCAGTTCAAGAGTCACCTCCTTAGAGAACCTTTCTCACTCCTTGACTCTATCCCATCACCCTTTTCTCTTCCTCCTAACATTTACCTCTGTCTGATATCACCTGCCACTAGGCTTGTTTTACTAACTTCTCCCACTGTGGGTCCCTCTAGAACAATTTCTCATTGGTGTGGACATTTATTCAATGGGAAAAAGATGAATGAACAATCAAAGGCACACGCAGACGTGACCAGAAGCGATCCGGTTCATGCTGGCAAGCAGGACATCCACAGACAGCTAGATCTGGGTCCCTGTCACAGCCACAACGGCCATGCCCACTTCACGTGTGCCCCAGGTTGGCTGGAGGTAAAGGGGGGGGCTGTGTGTCTGATATGCATGTGTGATGTGTGATGTGTATGTGTGTGTGTTCGCGCGCACGTGTGGTGGAGGACCACTCACCTTCATGTCAGTGGGGAACTCCTCCTTCTTCACCAGCCCAGTGGCTGCTGCAATGTTCCCTGCCCCAGAGAACACAGCTCCTCCCAGATGTGATGCCTGCTCCTTAGTTTTCTCAGCCACTGGAGCCGGGAGGGGGATGGGGAAGGGTTAGGGGGCCAGAGTGAGGAGGCATAGATGCCTTCACATTGTGGCCCAGGGGCTGCCCTCCCCAGGGAGCACCCCCATGCCTCCCATTTGTATAAAGCACTGCGCCAGGGCTGGGCTAGTACCTGAGGCCACACCTTGTACTACCCCCTCCCGGGTCTTGCTTCCTGCAGAAGAAAAGAGAGTACATTTAAGTAATCTGAGCTGAAGGAACACCACCATACAAGGGTTATGGGGGGGGGGCAGAGGGACCCAGGTGGCAGTGGGTTCCCTGATCCTGTTATTGCCTCCTAGGGCCCCCACATCTCACAACTCCACCTCCATGCAAACCACAGTTATCTCCCACACCCAATTCCTAAGCCTTCCAGGTCTCCCCCTGACTGACACCTGCACTCCTCTATGGATGTTGGCTGAGTGCCAGCTCTGTGCAAAGCTCATAGCTCCCTGATTCATGCCATCCTCTCCCTGGCCTGGGAGATGGGTGGGGGTACCCCTGGTTCAGAGGTTCAGCAAAGACTGCAGCTAGTAGGTGGTTGAACAGCATTCAAGTCAGGTCTTTCTGACACAAAACTTCTGCTATCCAGGACGGGAGGCAGGTGGAGCTAGGGGGCAACTGAGTGATGTGTTTTGAAAGGGGCCCAGTGCCTTGTGTGTGCACTCATGCCTCATGCCTCATGCTGCCTCATGCCCTGAGCTACTCTAATTCTTCTAGTCCTCCTCCTAACAAGAATCCAGCCCTGACTTCTGACCGAAGTGGAGAATCTCAGATGCAAGGTGTTTAAGGGTGATGTGTACATTGTAACTGGCACCACCAATGGCTCTTTGTCTGAGGGGTAGGAGAGAGGCAGGTACGGCCAGCCTCCAGGCTGGAGGGGACACTGCCTGGACCTTGAGAAGTGGGGAGCAGGTAGATATTCCAAAGGAGCTTGGAGGGGGTGATCCAGGTTCAGGGAAGCAGGCAGGCAAGACTTAGAGAGATGGACTTTCAAAGCTGTGCATGCCAGCAGCATTGGGTTGGTGAAAGATGGTTCCGGAAACTCAGACCAAGGCACAACTGTGAAAGGCACTGAGTGCCAGGGTACAGTTAATGGGTAGGGACTGGGGGGCATGAGGGTCTTCAGGGTAGGAGAAGGAACAAGAAATACCCATCTAAGGGGACGTGCACATGGCTTGAAGGGCGGGGGATGGAGTCTACTAGCACAGAAGCAATGCCAGGGATGCGGGGCGGGGTGGGGGGGTCATCAGGAGTGACAGGGCTAGAGGAGGAGGCAGGAGGGAGGCTAGAGCTTGAGCCAGCCCTCAGGCCAGACTTCTCTTGGTCTCACCCAACCCATCCTGCTCTGGTGGCTACACTACCTCCAGGGGCCCCTCTGCAATTTTTTCTGTCCCCGAAAGCCCAAGGGACCAGGGGGTCAGCACCTTGCTTACAATCTCATGGCAGTTACAGTGGTGCTGTGCCCTGGCCTGTATGGTCCCCTGTGACCTGGCTCTGGCTTCCAAGTCCCCACACTGCTTCTTGTTTTACCTCTCCAGCCCATCCCAGTGTCTTTGCTGCCTTCTCAGCCTGCCCCCCTCCACCTGGCTCAGCTCAGGTAGCCCTCTTTTTACCCTGTCCCCAAACTGGTTCCCACCCCTGCCACAAGCCCACTACTGAAGTGCTGTCTCACCATCAGCAGATTGGGTGTCTTTGTCTCCTGCTCACTGTTACACCCCGGTACCCACGGGATGCCTGGCACATAGCCATTAAATATTTTTCAAACTACCACAAACCTGTCATGACCTTGGGCAAGTTATCCAGCCCTTTTAAGCCTGCCTAAGGGGTAATGATACTTGCTCCACACAAGCAAGCCCTGAATTAGCTATGGACTCTGAAAAAAAACCATCAGCAAGCCAGTGTCCAGCATCCCTTTCCTTATGCAAAAGACCCTACAAACTCCTTCCACACTAAGAGGGATCTTAACCACCTGGCTTTTCTCTTGAGACCAGGGGGCAGCTGCAGGGAGGGCAGACAGGGGGAATGATGGCAATGGTGGACCCTCAGGCCTTGGGAAGCAGATGGGGGAAGGCAGAAGAGCCACTCAGGTCTGGAGGTAGCTGGAGGGAACCCCAACTGATACAGGAAGGAGAGCCCTCAAGGGGAGAGGGAGGGCTTCGGAGTCTATAAAGCTGGGTTCAAACCCCAGCTTCCCATTTTCCCAGCTATGTGACCTTGGGCAAGGTAGTTAAACCCTGAGTGGGAAGAGGGTAGCAGGGTGGCAGTTTCCCTGATCAGAACAGTCTGGAAGCATTAAATGAGGTTGCTATGGTACTTCACACAGTACTAGGTCTAGAGTTAAGTGTTGCCTGCCAGTAACTTAATAAAGACAGAATATGACACTGCTTTGCTCCCTGGTTGTCCAGCTGTACCCCATCTTTACCAACCCCCACTCTGTCCCCATCTCCTGCTGGCCTCTCACTTGACCCAGGCTTTCAAGGACTGCCAATGTCCCCAGTGACCCCTGCTGACCCTGCCCCATCTGCTGACTCATATTCGCCTGCCCAGACCCCCTCACTCCCTCTGAGGTCACTGTCCCCCACATCCTGGCAGGATACCCCGACCCTGCAGCCCCAGATACCCTGTCCCTCGCCCACCGACGTAGAGGACGCCCTCCTTGGTCTTCTCCGCTGCCTCGGTGACCCCCTGCTTGGTTTTCTCTGCTGCAGCCACCACGCCCTCCTTGGCCATGGACAGGCCCTTCATGAACACGTCCATCCTGGCGGCCTGGGGAGGGCGAACACACGCGCGCCGGTGCGCCGGCTCCGCAACCTCACCCGGCCCCTCTGAGGGACGCGGGTGTCCCCTCCTCTCCCTCCCCGGATCGTGGCGCCCTTCTGGGCCCGGACCCCCCTGCGACCTTCCTCACTCCTTAGTGCGGGGGCCTTAGTGCCGCGGTGAGTCCTAGCGTCCTTGAAACCCAGGGATGCGGGAGGGGCCACCGCCTCGGTTATCTGGAGCCCTGCAACCGCAGCCCCGGGGCTCCTGCAGTCACGACAGTCACACGGTCCAGCACGCAAACACACCACGGGCACGCTCACGTGCACACACAGGCCATGCAGCTGTCCAAACGCGCATGGCCACTCCGACACACACGAGCGCGGACGCATGTCCCCAGGCCACCCGAGAAGGTGGACACTTACCCGGGGTGCCCACTGACGCGCACCCACCGCAGCCGCAGCCCCTCTCGGCTCTCCATCCCCTTCCCCAGCGGCAGCCCCTTCCTCATCTCACCCAAGTCCCCTCTTCGTCCCCATCTCCTTCCCCAGCCCCGGCGCGCGACCGCCTCACCTGGATGCGGGGCCGGGCTAGGGATGGAGCGGTGGCTGCGGCGAGCGGACACCGGGGCTCGGGGCCGGGGACTGGGGAGGGACCCGGCCGTGGTCAGGCGCTCGCTCGGGTCACGGGACCTGGCAGGGCCGCAGCAGTGCCGGGCTTGGGGTGCGATGCCACCGAGGGTGCTCCTCGAGTCCTCTCGCTCGCTCGCTCGCTCGCGCGCTCGGGCTCCGGGTCCCGCGCTGCGGCAGCTCTGAGCTCAGGGCCCCCCTGGCGGCCGCGCCGCCCCCTCGGCCTGACTGACAGCGGGCGGGGAGGGTGACACCTCCGTCAGCAGACCAGCCTCCAAGGGCGGGCCTCGGGAGCGCAGCTGGGGACCCAGAAGCCGGAGACTCCCAAGTCTTTTGGGGACTGGGGCTGGGGATCCTGCGCCAGGCTCACAGTGGGGACGAAATAATGCGATCGGCCTTGGAGTTCAGATGGATGGGAATCCTAATTGTGCTTGTCACCAACTGTGGACCTGGGGCTGATCAACTCTCCTTCCTGAACGCGTTTCTTCCGTTAAACACCGAAGGTTCACTTAACACACGCTGATCGAGCGCGTTAAGGCGGGTGGTGCGCGGTACAGGACCGAGAAACGCCAAAATGAAAACAAGGTCCCTGCTCTGCGTGTGTGCGGGCACGTGTGTGCGCGCACGTGTGTGTGTGTGTGAGCGCGCACCTGCAGCAGAAAGAGAAGGCCGGACAGAAAATAAGTGTATCCACACTTAAACCGAACTAGGTTATTTGAGCTTGTGAAATGTGTTAAGATTACAAAATGCTACTGTAGCAGAGTGCCCCGAGGAAAGAGTGAGACAGAGTGCTCTGGCAAGACCTCTGCAAGGAGTTGAATTAGAAAAAGAGACCCCAGAGAAGAAGCAAGGCCAAGATGGTGGGAGTAAAATCCAGAAAGAGGGACTGCAAGTGCCAAGTTCCTGCAGCAGGATTGTCCTTAGGAACAGTTGAGAGACAATACAGCCTGGACAGTCAGGATAGACTTTCTTTTTTTCTTCTTTTTTTTAATGACTGTACTAGGGTTTGAACTCTGGGCTTGCTAAGCAGGCACTCTACCACTTGAGCCATACCACCAGCCCTTTGTTGTTGTTGTTGTTTTGCTTTAACTATTTTTCTGATGGGGTCTCTTATTTTTGCTGGGGCTGGCGTTGAACCTGCCTTGAATCTAAATCCTCCCAATCTCCACCTCCCCAATAGGTGGGATTACAGAGTGTGCACCACCATGTTTGGCTTGTTTATTGAAATAGAGTCTTACTTTTTGCCTAAAATGGCCTTGAACCTTGATCCTCCCAATCTCCACTTCCCAAGTAGCTGGGATTACAGGCATGACCCACAGCACCCAGTCAAGACCACTTTAAAAAAATACAGTTATTGATGGGGATTGTCAAAATGGTTATAGAATGCCAGGCTCATGGCATGCCCTCAGTTGGTGCTGTGATAGAATTATGCCCATGAAGCTTTGGGGTCTTAGAGGAAAGGGACACTGACAACTTAGGGGAGTCAGGGAAAGCAGTGAAGAAGAGGTGGTACCTGAACTGGGACTGTGCAGGATGGGAAAGATTTCATCAGGCAAGAGGAAGGGAACTTTAGTCTGGATATAGCTAGGGCAAAGCCACTGTGGCCAGAAACACAGGCTGTGAAAGTGCCAGAGGATGACGTGAGGGGAACCTTGTTGCCAGACTGCAGCGCTTAGGAAAAAAATGTTCACAGGCCACTGGTAGAACTGCAAATTGACACAGATGTTTTGGAAGTCAGTTTGGCACTGTTTGCTGAAAGATTGGATGTGTGCACCTTTTGCGCCAACAGCTGCCCTCCCAGGACTTTATCCTGCTGATCTTGGCTCACAAAGGGCGTGGAGACATTTGTGCAGGGATGTTCACAGCAGCACAGAGTTTATTGTAGCAAAAACCAGACAAAAATCCAAATGCCCACCTGAAAGGGCCGGCTACTTAAAGTGGTACATCCACCTTTTTCTATGAAGTGCTGGAGCATCCACTAGTTTGGGTGTCTTGGGAGGGTCCTGGCACCAATCCCCTGGACATGAAGGGATGACTGCTGTACTTATGCACAGCTGTTTATACAAAGAACAAGGAGCCTCCAAAAAAAAATCTAACACAGCAGGTACCCTGGGGAAATGCAAGTGAGGGAGCTCAGGGAGGGAGGCTTTCACCTCCCTTCCCCTTCCTTCTTTGTGCCTTTGACTATTTTATCTAGGATCATATTTTACTTGTATGATCTTAAAAACTCCAGTGGGAGACAACTTTTTTGGTATCATGGCATTGGAATTGCCCCCTTCTTACATTTTGGGTCCCTCGACTTGCCAGGAGGTGACTTACCTCCTGTCTAAAAATTGACAACGCCCGTCCTTGCTTCACCAGCTACCTCACAGCTGGAATGGGATGTGGCTGACACTTGTAAGCCACTGCCTGGGACCCTGAGGCTCCTGCCAGTGAGAAGCAGGGGGTTCTGTTCTGAGGAAGACTTGGTGCCGGCGGGGGGTCAGGGGGCAGCTTCTGCCAGGGATCGCAGGCAGCAGACACTCATCCATAAATGCCCAGTGTCAACTGGACAAGCTACACTGTCCATGCTCAACCATGACTCAGGATGGTCACAAGGGGCTTGCTCACCTGTGGGACTGGCATTGGTCCAGGCTGTGTGGCCTCCACGGTGGGTTCTCTGGCCTCCCAGATAGGTTGGTTAATAAAGCCTTTATTTAAGTGAGCCAAAGTGATTTCTTTTTATATTGTTTTGGTGGGACGGGTTTTGATTGGGGACAGGGCTTTGCACTTCCAAAAGCAGGAGCTCTACTACTTGAGCCACACCTCCAGTCCTTTTTTGCTCTGGTTATTTTGGAGATGGGGAGGTCTCGCAAAGTATTTGCCCAGGCTGGTCTGGAGCCTTGATCCTCCCGATCTTAAGCCTCCCGAGTAGCTAGGATTACAGGTGTGAGCCACTGGCTCCAAAGTGATTTCTGTGGCTGAAAATGATCAGGAGGGAGGAGAGAGGAGGAAGAGGGAAAGAAACGCAGAGGAGGGTGTTGGCACTTGCGTCCCATGAAGTGGGAAGTCACTGAGGGATCTAGGCACAAGATCAACTAAGGAGATTTGCATTTTCTGGTTGGAGGGAGACTGGGCTAGAAGGAGGAAAGTGTGGCCAGCTAAGCAGAACCTACGAAGCCTGAGCTGAGCCAGGAAGCCATCGTGAGGCTGGAACAGGTGAGGAGGGAGAAATGGGACTCTCTTAGGGGAGGTGGAGGAGTCTAGGAAGTCTCCCAGGACTTCTGGCTTGGTAAATGGGGTTCATGCCATGGCAGAATGAGTTAGGCCAGGAGGGGGTGCAGCAGCTGTGGGGAGAGGCAGATGAACAGCCCCGGGCCTGGGGGTGCCCAGCAGACATGCTGGAGATGACCAGCAGGGTAGGGTATCCCAGCCTGACGTAAAGTGTAGATTTGGGATGCACTGGAAATGTTTCCTAAATAGTCCCACAAGGTTAGGGCAGGAGAAGAGGGCAGGGGAAGAGGGCGGTGGGTGGGAAGAAACACCTTGTAGATATTCTTACCATTTGATCTCAACCGATGCTGTGACAGAGGGTTGGCTCCGTTTCATAGTGTCTTCACTGGACAGGTGACACAGACAAAAATCACTTGAGGAGCATAGACCAGGAAGTGAGGAGTTTTGAGTATTACCTTTGTTTTTAACCTAGCTTGTGTACTTGTAAGTTTATATAATTTAACTGGGGGTTGAACTCAGACCTTGCACTTTGTTAGGCAGGCACTCTACTGTTTGAGTCATACCTTCAGCCCTTTTTTGCTTTAATTATTTTTTTAGATAGGATCTTGAATTTTTGCCTGTGGCCAGCCTTGGATCACAATCTGCTTACCTACACCTTCCATGTAGCTGGGATTACAAATGAGATCCACTATTTCGAGCTTTTTTGTTGAGATGGGGTCTTGCTAACTTTTTGCCTGGACTGACCTTGAGTCATGATTCTCCTTATCTCTGCCTTCTGAGTAGCTGCATTGCAGATGAGAACCACCACTACCAGCCTAATGTAATTTATTTTTACATGAATTCTCACTATGTTGCCCAGGCTGACCTCAAATTCATTGGCTCAAGTGATCCTCCCATCTCAGCATCTGAGTAGCTGGGACTACAGGCATGCACCACCATGCCTTGCTATGGAATTTAGTTTTTAATAATGACTTTAACAAGTGGCTCACAAAATTCATGAAACTTTAACTACAGGTCTCATGGATGAGGCGGAGTCAGATTGGTACCATGCTGGATTTGGAGTCCTTGGCAGAGGAGTGGTGGCCGGAGCCACAGGTGGCCCATGATTGCCCAGGGGAACACAGGGCGTGAAGAGAGTGAAAAGCACTGACTCCTTACTTAGGCCCATGGATTAACCAAAGACAGAAGAAAAGCATGACGTCTCTGCCTCCATTTTGTACCTGTCGTCCTCTGCTCTGAGCTACTCTCTCCTGCAGCCTCCTTGGAATCAAGGAAGGACAAGAGTGATTGATAACATCTTACCCTTAAGGAATAAAGGAGCCTTGTAGGATGGCTGCCCCTCAAATGAGGACAGCTACGTACAATGGTGAGGCTGCACCTTGGAGCAGGAGCAATCATCTCACGGGAACCAGATGGTTCCCTTCAAGTGATGGCAGCCATAACTTCACCAGAACACTTCTTGGACTGACATAACGACCAACCAGGTCACATCTGTGACTGGGACTGTTTAGCTATGCACACCTTTGTCCCCTGCCCCCTGCTCCTTTGTCTACTTAAACCTACAGCTCATGTGTGTACCCCAAAGATGGCTGAAGATGAGCTGAGTGCTGACTCTGCCTCTTCCCACGGCATGTCCCGAGCCGTGTAATAAACCTCCTTTCTCTGCCTTTTTATTTGGTGTATAGGGATGAGGGGACGGACCTGACACGTGGAAGCCCAGGAGTTTGGGCCTGGGATCCAAACTCTGGTTTCAAGAACAGAGAACCCA